AAATGCTGCATTATGTTTTGAAGGAGCAGAGTTTATTGTCAGAGGATATATTGATTCAGATTTTGCAGGTGATCTTGATAAAAGAAAATCTAATACAGGATATGTGTTTACACTTGCAAGTGGAGCGATAAGTTGGCTATCTAAACTGCAGATTGTTGTAGCTTTATCTACTACAGAGGTGGAGTACATGGCAGCTACCCAGGCATGCAAGGAAGCAATTTGGATTCAAATGTTATTGGGGGAACTCGGACACAAGCAACAAAAGATCAATGTGTATTGTGACAGTCAGAGTATCTTACACATTGTAAGGAATCCAGCTTTTCATTCCAGAACAAAACGCATAGGAGTACAATATCATTTTGTCAGAGAAGTAGTAGCGGAAGGGAGTGTGGATATGCAGAAGATTCATACCAAAGATAACCTAGCAGATGCTATGACAAAATCAGTAAATGCTGACAAGTTTATACAAAGTCGATCCTGTAATGACCAATTGAAAACATAAGTAGCATATATGGAAAAAATAATCATGGTGTGAAGATTTGATTAATTTCATCAAAATCTTCAAGTGGGAGATTGTGAGAACAAAGTCCCACATCGGTGGGTACTTCAAAGGGGGCATGAGTGAGTGGTTATATAAGAAACCACATACCCCCATTCTATCCATCCCAATTTTTTTTTCTTTCTCTAATATTAGAAAGGGTTGTCATTCTTAGGATTAGAGAAGAGGTATGTAATTTTTCTTCCTATTATAAAATTTCTACTTTTGTTTATTATTACTATTCAATTTTTCTCTTCTCTATTTTAGTTGAGTTCTTGTGCAAGTAGTTTGATACCTAAGATTGCCTACTGTCTTGGGCAGTTGCAATCAAAGGACCTAGTTATCCAACAATGTTCAATCCCTGGTTCTTATTTTTGTGGCCTTTTCAGAAGCTATCATACTTGGAGAACCACTAACCGTTGGAACGTATGAATATTTCTACTTCCAATCATTATGTCAATTTTAATGTTCATTGGAATTCTTTCCTTATCAAGGTATTTTGGGGTTTGATCCAGAAGTACCAAAACACAGTCACATGTTCAATTCAATTCGTTATAAACACCAAATTTAGATCATGATTAAGGTTTTTATCTTCATATTAATTTTGTATATAAAGATTAACAAAATTATAAAGGTGAAACTTCAATTCTGAGTACAATAAATGTTAAAAATCTAGAATGCAACTTTTGTTATTCTCAATATTATAGTTTTTGTATGATATACATAGAAAAGAAAAATACTAATGGGATACCTTCATGCAGGTTGTTGGGCATGGTTTTGATCATGGTGGGGTTATTTGTACTCCTTCTTGTGGGGAAAAAGTACTGAGACAAAGAGCATGGCTCAACAACCAATTTTAGCAGCTGCAGCAGAAGTACATGACTAATTTGATTGCTGCGGCCGAATCAGCTGCTACAGTAGTGCCAAGTTCTTCACCAGTGTACATTTTGATCTTGAGATGCCTGGCAGAAACTGAAGAAAAAAAAACAATTTTTTGAAGTTAGGATTTTAACCATAAAGTATGTGAAAGTTACATCATATGTAGCAGATAATTAGCATAAATGTAAAGGACTGTGTTGTAAAATTGATAATTAGTTAAGTTAATAAAAGGATCTGTGATTAGAAAATTTCTGTAATGATAAAATCAAGAATTAATATAAATAAATTTTGTTAGGATTTTTAAGTTAAATTTGGATGAATAAGAAAAGTGAAGATGGATGAGGTAAGGTCAACTAGGAAACACTTAGTGACTCAGATTTCTCTCCTTATATATATATATATATATATATATATATATATATATATATGAGGAATTCTTTCAAACATATTAAAGAGTGCGGCGAGATTGGTGCATGATGATGTCGTCATCAATTATCTTAATGCCGAATGATTCTTCAAAATAGGGTCATGATAATATTGAATTTATATCTCCAGGTTTTCTTCTTCATAAATAGTTCTGCAGGAACTTATTTCAATTCACTCTTCTCGAGAGTTTTTTTTTTTTTTCCACAAGATTTGAACCAAGAATCTTCCAGAGGGTCTTGTATGAATACATTCTTATGGAATGGAAAAACTTGGTAACTATGTTGACCAAGCCCCTTGGGATAATAGGGTCATCATAATCTTTGTTTTTGTAGAAATGGGATAAGAAAAATATGATTAAAATATTAGATTTATAAAGATTGTTTGAGAAGAACTTAAATTGCTTATAAAATTCAATCACGTTCTTATTTTTAACAAATGCAATAAGTAAATTCATTTGTTTTTAACTTTGCTAATTATGCTAGTTTTCAGTTTTCCATTATAATCAAATGTATTTGAAAATTAGAGAGTTTAAAATTTCGTATTGCAATTTTCATTGGTAATGTAAAAGCATAGATATTGGTAATGTTGAAATGTATATTTATAAAAATTTAACTAACATATCTTGACCATTCTTTGAAATGAGATCTTTATTGGGTAACTTATCTGTCAATAATACAATACTTAAGTGATTCATTAATTATTTTAGAAATAAAAATTATTATATGATCATTTAGACTTAAATTATGGTATAACTATCCAATATAATACTATTGGTTTTTTATACCGTTACTAAAGTTGTAGATAATTTTATATAATTTCATATATAGATATAGAACATTCAGATATGGTTAAAACAATGCACTTTTGTGCTATATATCACTATAACACATAAACTATAACTTTAATTCTTGTTTTCCTCTATGATTTTATGTTAAATTTGATCGAACTTTTTCATGAAACATGTATGTCTATGTTGAGTAAATTATTTTTTTCCTTCCATTTATCTTCGAATTCTATTTGAATTATTTCCTCACAAAAAGTTAATATATTAAAATATGTCCACATAATTCTATAAATGTATATAGTTTTTAGATTTGACAAACAAATTTACGTTTGCAACTTTTAACGTGTTGCATTATTCATGATTTTCCATTTTAACCTTTTAAACAAACACATAATGTTTCGTTTTCTTAATTGTCCACTTATCTTGGTGTATTTGTTATGAGCATTCTCGGTAAATTTAAATTAATTTATATATAAGCTATAATTTAAAGTAATTATAGTTTAGTAAAAAATTATTTTTTTAGTATTTTAGTTTTTATGTAGAATATATAGTATTTTAGTTAATCTTAGTAGAGAAAGTGTCCAAACTCTTGCCCTATCACAACATTGTTATATTCTTTATTTTGAAACCTCATGGTTTTATTTTTAAGAAATGTTATCGTGAATTGAGAGAAAAAATATATATAAATTATATTGGTATTGATTATTGAATGACATGAGATCCATAAATATACGAAAACATGATTGATGTTCTTATAACGGATATATGATCGGGACACTCTCATTTCTAAACAAAACATTAGGTTTATCGTGAGGTCGAGAGTTAAGTCACTCCATTCATACTAATTCTTGACTGGGAGACTACTGTTTAATAATATATATATATATTATTTTTAGTTAACCAACTTATACGTCTCTTAAAAATAAAATTATGACGGACTAGAGTTTAAAAGTGGACAATATTTCGATCATGAAAATTGACTTTAACGATGTTATGATAAGGAAGATGAGTTTAGAATATCTCGTTTCTAAATAAATAAAAGGAGTAGTATCTTAATGTTACTATTCCATGTGTGTTATCTCAGTTTTCCAGGATTATTATTGTTTCAATGTCTAAAGAATATCATTTGAAAATGATCGGTGGCAGGTCCTTTAATAACCACACAGAATCATTCTTTTCCTCAAACCTTAATTATTTGTTTAAGAGATCCATGAGCCACTACTTCAACTCTTAGATATATATAGAAGAACTTCAAATCATAGACTCCATTAGCTCTTTTCTATGTAACACCTAAGTTAATCAGATTCTCTACCAAGAAATGATGGTAATCCTAAATAAAAAAAGAGAAAAGTCCAATTAAATAATTAATTAGCGTAACCAACTCTTGCTCTATATATATTTTGTTACTTTCGGCCATACAATCCAATATTAATTGACTCTGGTCCTACCATCATCTTTCTTAAATTTCATGATTTATATATTCACGTTTAAACTTTCTCTCTGTTGAAATAATCATGTCACTTCCTTATATAGAAGAAGACTGTACGTAACCAAAGAAAACGTTTTCCTGCATGTATATCTTCCAACTGATATATTAACTCCTTCTGAAGTGAAAGTGATTACAGCACCGTCTAATAATAAAACCATTTTCACAATTATAAAAAGGAAAACAATTGGAATTAGCAAGAGAGATGATAGTTTCAAAATTTAGACCTTAAGAGGAATAATGGATATAGATATACCACCTAAAATTCAGAATAACTTTTATCTGTTGCCTAGGATTTCTGTCCAAAAGTTTAGAGACTAATTTTTTATATACAGAGAGAGGTTAATCTGTCTTAAGCAAACATTCTTTCATTCATACCATATATTACTAAACAACAAAGACATGTAAAAGCAAACTTATCTTAAAATCTAAATTAGATATCAGCAAATCAAGCAACCTTAACTGGCACCAACATCAATGTCCAACCCGAACTACAAGAAAAACTCATATCATCACCATTATTGTTGATATTATTATATAACGATTAGGGTATTGCATTAACAAGTAATGGTGACAAACTTGGAGGAACCAATGGCAAGGTGACAGAGAGTTTGCTGATAAAAATAGTTTTGCTGCAATGCATGGCATCTGTCACCATATTCATTTTACCTTCAGAACTTTTCATAAGCTGTTTGTCATTTATTTCTGCACTTGACTTTTAATTTTCGCTCGTGTGATGTGCATCATAGCTACATAAGGGGCCGAGCCAAAACCGTTTCTTTCATCCATATCCATGTTAATACTTTTTTTGTCTCTCTTGTGGTAAGAGACAAAGACAGCGAGTTAGCATTTGTTTTGCCTTATATCTTTTCTTCTCCTTAGACACAATGAGTCACATAGAGGGAGAAGCAATGAAGGCAGAGAAAATGAGAACTCTGAAGGAATGGTTCACTTCATCCCAGGTTCTATGCAGCATGTTGCTAGTGCAAATTTTTGTATCTGGGATGCAGTTGCTATCAAGGGTCATATTGGTTCAAGGAACTTTCATTGGTGCACTTATTGTTTATCGTCACCTTGTTGCTGCTATTTTTGTTGCCCCCTTTGCACTCTACTTTGAAAGGTATATCCTTGTTTCTCCACTGTTTTCTATATATATAAATTTTTGTAAACAATTTAATATATTCTTATTCTTATTCACTTTTACAAAGAGTATTAAAAGAATAAATACGTTTAATATCTTCAACAGTTGGTTTTCGCTTGCTGCAGAATGAAATTGTTTTAGAGAGGAAACTATTGAATAGGGTTTAGAGTCTGCATTTTTTTCTAAACTTAATTCATCTTTCATGTTGGTGTGTTAAGATCAACCTGTCACTTTGTTTCTTTTTATTTTTGAGAAGTAATGTTTTTCTTTAGTTTCCTAATACAACTTCCATCAGATACAAATATTTCTCACGAAATAATCTAATCTGTATTACTCAGATTTAATGTATTAGCTTAGATTTTTCAATTATTATCTGTGTTTGATCTTTGATTATTTTAATGTCCCCTCAAACACTTTTGCTTGTTGATGTTCTATCTTCAATTTGCAGAGGTCGCCCAAAGAAGTTCAATTGCAAGGTTTGGTTTTGGCTCTTCATTAATGCACTAATGGGGTACGTATGCGTTCTTTAATGAGTATAATGATAATATGTTCTCACTGTAGAATAGTTTCACGTCATCCTTCAATTACAAATAAAGAGTCTTACGTATTCTAACACACGAGTCAAGAAATTATAAAAAAAAAGAAAAAGAAAAAAAGAGTGAAAGCTATATAGAACAACTTATTCACATTTCAGCAAAAGGCAAATTCCTTTTTGAATTTGACAACAGTATTCTTATAACACTAATTAATATTAATTTTCCTTAAACTTAATATATGCAGTGATCTATGATTGAAATAGAGTGTAGCTTTTCTTTAATTCCTCTAGAAAACAGAAAAATGAGCTAAACCAAGCATTCAATGAAATTTAATAATGTTGAACAGTATTGAAACTTGAGTGAATCTCCATCATCTTCCTTCTAAGATAGCCTTCAAAAACGATTTGCAACGTCATGGTTCAGAGAAGTATGCGGTAAAACGCTTATATGATAGCAGAGAAAGATTCTTACTCCAAAATTAATACTGCCAACCATTATAATTATAACAATTGAATGTTACTATGTGGACCCATTTAGAAAGTCTTCATTATCTAAGAGGCATTCATACATTTGCAGAGAAAGTAACTCTTACAGAAGTCGAAGTTCCTGTTTTTCTGATCCATCATTTACTTTCACCTTTTATAGAACAATTATTAGACTTATGGATCGATGCGCCACTCTTTGACGTTTATAAGTAATTAGCAGCATTGCTAAACACAGATAAAGTGGTGTGAGAAAGTGAGGTTATCTAATTTTAATTAAGTTTTTTGAGGCAACCTTTGGTGCATTTTAAACAATGAGTATAATGGTTTGGCTGTACTGGGAAGAAAAGTACGTGGCTCTTTGGATTTGGAAGTATTTGAGATTACAAAAGAAGATGAAGAAATTCAGTGACCCCTTTGAATGTGAAACTGCACAAATAACCTTACTTGACAATGCGTCCGAAATTCTTCGTCCTACTCTTTTAACAAATTTACTCCTGTTTATATGCACACAACAATCAATAAATAGTACTTATTTGCTTTGTTACAGGCCAAATGAAACAAAGAATAAACATGAGTCAGTCTAGTTGTAATATTGCATATTTAAAAACCTAATCATCAATGTTTTAATAACACCGATTTACAATATTTGCTTAAACTATTCCATTCATTTCAACCTTTCTGACATTTAATAGAGCATTAATCTTTTCTTGAATTTGGTTTCTCTCTTGATTTTTTATGCTAAACTCTTAGGTGTTGTATTGATCACTATTAATTACTATAAATAAACAATTATAGTAAAATAAAATAAAGCTATGGATTCTTATTTGATAAAAAAAAATCAAACCCCCCTCCCCCCTTTTGTTACCTGTATACAACAGAATTTGCATTTGCATTTATGCAAGAATGGAGTGCTTCAAGTATTGGAGCCTTAATTTCCTGGTGATGAATAGAAGAAATTAGCTACGTAATAATAACACTGCCCCCCATTAATGGCACTAGTTCTTTTTCCAATAACTTTGTGCAACTATGGTCCTATATATGGATAGATATTTCAAACCAAGATGAATGAACTTCATAATTTTATGGTCTATATATGTCAGATACCCATCTATGTCCCTTACATTATAGGATTCAATTATGGTAACTTTGATCCGTTTTCATCGTTTTTTACGGTATATTCCTACAAATTCAAAGGAAACACTTCCGTTTAACTGACATTTTCTACCATTGTTACTTGTTCAGATTGTTTTTCTAACATAACAACGTAAATTACAGGATGGCCCTGGCTCAGGGATTGTTCTATTATGGTCTGCGAGACACATCAGCAACTTACTCTATCAATTTTCTCAACTTGGTTCCTATAAGCACTTTCATTACCTCTATCATATGCAGGTATTTGGAAACACTGGTTCATAAAAAATAAAGGCTAAAAGTAACAGCATTTTCTGTGATAGATTCTTGCACAATAACGACATAAATGCAGAATGGAGAATCTGAAGTTGCAGACATGGGTTGGTAAAGCTAAGTCTGGAGGGGCAATTTTGTGTCTTGGAGGAGCATTAGTTACCAGTATTTACAAAGGGAAGGAATTTTATCTCGGTCATCACAGTTATCATACTCATCAAACTGCACCACACAAAACCCACATGCTAAATGGTACCATCTTTTTGATTTGCAGCTGCTTCTCATACACGGCCTGGTTTATTGCACAAGTATGTTCCTTACTTTGTGTTACGTATATCCTATCAGCTACTATATTGCATCTACGATATGTTTGAAAGAGCTTCTCTTTGAAAGAGTTTTATATAAAGTAAAAACTAAAACTTTGAAAAACTATATTCTTTCTTAAATTTTATGTGGAAAAGTTTTGGAAATATTATATTATTTAAATACAAAAGAAATGGCTTGAGATTGTATGATATTTGCATGTTGACTAGCTACATATCTGAATTTAAAAGGTGAAGTTGCTTAAAGTGTTTCCATTGAGGTATTGGGGAACAATGGTATCATGCATTCTAGCAGCAATTCAAGCAGCAATAGTAGGTAGTTTCTTAGATGCAAGTAACGCTGCTTGGAGAATAGAGTTGAATCTACAACTCATCGCTGTACTTTATTCGGTAAGATGTTTTATATATATATATATATATATATATATATATATATAATACCTTCTTACAATTTAAATATGACTAAAATTCATATTCAATAAATAATTGTTTGTATATAATATATTGCATGCTAATTAACATCTTTCTTAAATGATAATATAAATGAAACAATTTTAATTCTTAAGAAGTAGTCTTGAAAAACATTGTCATTATAGGATTTGAATAGTGTAAAATTTGAAGTTTTGTTGGTCGGTGAGTTTTAAGTAAAGATTGTTTTATAAAATTCACTCAATTTAATTTGTAAAAATCTTGAGTTCAAAGAAACTTAACTGGTTAATTTAAAAACCCTAAAAACCCAATTTTGCACGTGGTCTAAACTAAAAACAAAAGTGTAATATATATTCTTAAAATTGTTACTCAAATTCATTGCAAGACAAAGTGATTATTGATGAACGAAATTTGAAAACTAACCAAGTGTGATTTACTTTGAGATTAAACTTTGAATGGAGAACAGAAACACTATTATTGTATTACACAAGTGGGATTTTTATTTGTGTAGGGTGCACTGGCCACTGCTGCTACGTTCTGCATGCTATCTTGGGCAATAACAATCAAAGGACCAAGTTATCCTCCAATGTTTAATCCCCTTTCTCTTATCTTTGTGTCCTTTTCAGAGGCTATCTTACTTGGAGAACCGTTAGGAGTTGGAACGTATGAACATTTTTCTCTCCTTAAATTATATGTTCATTTTCTAGTATCTTATGCATATTCTGGGGTTTGACCAAACTATGATCACATAATCACTTGGCACTAGATCAATGGAGCATGTACATTTAAAGTAACAGCATGAAGATTCAAAATCTGTGTAGGTTGGTTGGCATGGTTTTGATCATAATGGGATTGTACTTGTTCTTGTGGGGCAAAAAGAAGGACACACAGAGCTTGGCTCAACCAAATGTTGCAGATGCAGAAGGATCAACCATGATGGGTGATGGGCTCAGTGCAGCCCAATCAGCATCCACAGTCGTAACAAGTGCTTCACCCACAGATTCTGTGGTTCTTCAAGTTGAAAAAGACTGAGAATAAATAATTTGGCAGGCAGAGAACTGAACTACATGCACTTCTGATAAATAAAATGTAAGTTTAAAGGACTATCTACCTTTCATTTCAAGGTAGAACTGAATTTGTATCGTTGAAATAAACAAAGGGGTTGAGTAGTAATTTGCTGAAGTACAAATGCACATTCATATCACCATTAATGCAAGATTCAGTCAACCTTTCTTCAATGTTTGAATTTGAATTGATTAACGTAATCACTTACACTGAAATTAATGTATAATCACTTATGTAAAAACACTAAAGTTTCCCATTTCCTGAATCTTTTGTTCTTCAGGATTGCTGCTTCATTGTGATTCGAGAGTGTTTGACCATGTCCTCTATTCCCAATTTTTCAAATAACAACTTGGTAGATTGGATTCAAGGTTAAGAAAATGTTTTTCATTCAGCTTCAACTAACAAAATTATTATGGTTGTAATTTTTGTATGTGATGTTTTAAATATAATTTCGTGGTAGAAAATTGGAGTAAATTGAATAAGTTGTACTCTTTTGAATTGAATGCAAAGTTAAGCAACTGAGCAAAATTACAATTACAAGGAAAAAAAAAAACAATATCGAGTACATGAATTTGAAATTACAACTTTGTTACTTAAGCAACCTATCTTTGGATTCGTTTACTTTAGATTGAATTGGGTTTTAAAAATTAATTAATGAAAAGAATAAAATTATCCATTTCTCAAAAAGTATGAACAAACTTAAATAATTAAAATTTTCTCAAGTAATTAAAATTACAAATACTAAAATTACCCACGTATAAAATTATATGACGCCATTCACAGTTATTATGATTATTATCAATACATGTTCGGTCTCAAAGAAATTGTGTCTTGAAATTTTTATAATAGTAAGAGTATAATAAAATGATATAACAATTAATATAATCTAATAAGAATATTTGATGAGAAGAGAACGGAGGTTTTTTAAATTAAATAAATAAATCAATACTAAATTAAATAACTAAAAATTTGTTTGTAATTTAGCAACAATAAAAAAAAATTCATATTGGTGTCAACTTTTAATTTTGGTAAAGGATTGGAATGTAAAAGATATGTTAGGAAAGGAATATAAGAAGATAAGAGTTTGATGCAAAATTTGAGTGATATCTAAGAAATGCATACACAGTGGTCGAATCCTTAATCATATCACAAAACAGATATTGATTCTGTGTTTCCTTTATCCCTCGTCTTTTCTAACTTTCGGCCAAAAGGGTCGGTTCCCACTTTCCATCCACAGTTTATTATCTATTTCTTACATTTGCATATTGTGGTTATGGAGCAACTACTGAATTCTATTTAGTCGAGGATTTTTTAACTGATCAAAGATTTAATCGGGTTTAAAAGTTTTTAAACTCATATAAAATAATTATGAAACTCGTTATATAATATATTTATTCTTTTCTTTTTTTTGCTTCCATTATTTATTTTTCCTCTCTGTCAAATTCACCGTTAAACAAAGTCAAAAGTAGGAGTGAAAATAATTTATATGATATATGCGAATATGGATTCGAGCATCGTTCCCAATGTCAGAATAATGTTGAATATTTTATACCTTCCCGAGAAAGGAAAAAATGGTTGCGGGACAAACATATTAGTAATTAATTTTTCTTTCAAAGGGCACTTTATGTGAATGGCTCCTGTTCATAGCATCCTATTAAAGTTGGCATTTGGTGGGGGTGTGAGAGTGAGATTGTGCGAATATATTTCTTATTGTTAATATAGGTCGTAGCATTGCTTAAACTAAGAACTGAAGAAAGTCATCATCATCATAGGAGTTGTGAGAAGATGGGAAGAATTTCAAGGACCAGGAGTTACGCAATTGCCTCTTCAATGCAAGATAACCAACAGCAACCACCTTGCATTACCTGCACCACTTTTAACATTCTTGCACCAATATACAAGCGTCTCAACCATGAGGTTCTTCTTTTGTGTTACATATGAGTTTCACATGTTTGCATTGGTCACTTGCTTAAATGGGGTGCTACAAATTTGGATGCTTGCTTCCTCTGATTTGTGTTTTGGTGGGGTGAAAACAGGATCAGAGTTGTCGTGAAAGTGACTACAAAGCGTGTTGGTTGGCCAGGAATCAAAGGATATTGGATTGGCTGTTGTATGAGAGATCTTCCATTATCTGTCTTCAGGTTTGCATGATCAATGAAATAGATTGGACCTGGAATGTTCTTTAATGGGCTAAAAGCCAATGGTAGCATGTTTTTATAGATTAGAAAATACGTGTATATAGTATATAAGTCTTCTTGCTGAGAACTGTTTGTTTCTTCTTTGTCGTGGAAGCTGTTTTTGTGGGGTGCTGGTGCTGATGATATGTTGAATTTGTGCAGGAATTTTGGATTGGAAACGAGGAGCTTGTTAATTTGTATGACAAGAGACTTGGTGATACTGGTTATATTAATTTCAAGCTCGGACGGACTAACAATCGTGGTGATGGTAAAATTAACTTTAGTAGAAGTTCTCCCATCTAATTTCTTCAAAAACTTAAATACATATAGAAACACAATTCGTTTTACCTTATACTTTTTCTTCTATCAGTGTTTACATAGAAGTTTATTCAAACAGGGTCTTTAGAGACCTGAATTCTAATAAGGTTTTCATACTTTTTATTTTCCATACGCGTGGTTTTATCAACAACACATGCTGAATTTTTGTGCACATACACAATATGGCGTTTCCTTCTGAGTTTTCAGGTCTTCTGATAGCAGTGCAAAAGGAATATTTCAGAGTTGTTAACTATAAGGAGTTGCACTTCAATGATTGTGGTGATCGAGTAGCTCAACTGTTACACGTTGCGTTAGCTTTTCCGTTTTCACAATGTCAAAACAGTGATGTTAGGCACGAAATTCTCATTGTCAACACTCACCTACTGTTTCCACATGATTCAACTCTTTGCCTTGTACGACTGCATCAAGTATGTAAGCACTTATAGTTTTGGTATTAGACACCACTTTGCTAACCTTTGGCATCTCACTTTGTACTTTAAATTTTGCTTTTCTGCAGGTCTACAAGATACTTCAATATATCGAATCTTATCAGAAAGAACATCAACTTAAACCCTTGCCAATCATGTTATGCGGGTAAACATCAGATCAATGTTTTTATGAATTTAGTGTGATTGGATTAGCGATGAATAAATTGATTTTCAAGTAAGGTAATTTATGTTTGATTGTTTTTTTATTATAAAATCGGGTTGATAATAAAACTGGGTATAAAATTCTTAATCTGACATAAAAGCTACTTAAATTTCATCAACTTAGAATCAACTTTTGACCTAGAAATAATTATTTAATAAAAAGCCATACATGTGAAAAGTTGCTTAAAATCATTTAGTAGTATTATTAAGGGATTACGAAGAATCTATCGTAAAATCAAATACACACTTAATTATTTGCTAATTTTTGTGATAATTACTTTAAAAATTATATTTAGGATGATTTTAATTTCCCAGTGACTGGAATGGAAGCAAAAGAGGACATGTTTACAAGTTCCTGAGGTCGCAGGGGTTTGTATCATCATACGATGCTGCACATCATTACACTGATGATGATGCTCACAAGGTAATAACAAATAACATTGCTTTCAGAATTTTCAGCTGGATAATATTCTTATCACCCGTGTTTGTTTTACCCTTTTCTCAAAAGCAGTGGGTTAGCCACCTCAATCATCGTGGAAACATATGTGCTGTTGATTTTATATGGCTTCTTAACCCTGACAAATATCAAAAACTACTTAAAACAAGTTGGAGTGAAGCAGTCTTTGGCATGTTTAAGGTAATCTTTTGGATCATTTTATTGCAGACCTTGGAAACAGGGAAGGGATTGTGGCAGGATGAAGTTTATATTTGGTAGATATAACACTGCGTTGTTCACAACTAGGCTAATGTGTTCACGCTAAATAGTAATACGTAGTCATTAAGAAATATTACTTTTATGCTGTTATTTCATTGCTTTTACCCCCATAGAACATCTTTAGACCTATCATAAAGAATGTAGAATTTATTTTTTGGGTGGCCAGAAAGTTTTAATGGAAAGTTGAACTTTAATCAAGTCCAAACTATCACCATACTATTAATGTAGTTGTGCAAAAGAATTCTCTCACTGACAATAAACTTCACCTTTTTCAGTATCTATTGCGAAGAGATTCACTGACAGAGATGGATGCATTTGCTTGTCTAAAGGTTGACAATGAAGATCGTATTACCTATTCTAGTTTCTGTGCAGCACTTAGACAGGTATGTTGTATAACTAGATGAACACTTCTATGTTTCAGATATCTTGTGCTAGTCTGAGAAGTCCTCATCTTAAATAGAGATTCTTGGTTCTTTTTCATTTTGTGCAGCTTAATTTAATTGGTCATCCTCATGGGTTAAGTATTGAAGAGACAAAGGACTTGTGGGTTCACGCAGATATAAATGGAAAAGGTGTCATTGATTATAAAGAATTTCTGGTAAAGTAGTTCAGATTAAATTAGATGTATATTTTTATTTGAATTTATTACAATAAGTTGTATTCGGATTTATACAAACAATTACTAGAAATTTAGGATGAGTAATTATTTGAAAGTGCCCCTTGAAATCTAAATGTTTTTTCTCCATATAGCATGTTCTAATGCATTGATCGCAAGGATCTACTTGTGATAATTTTTATTGTTGCCATGTCACTAGACAAAACATGTTTGATCCGACTTGTTACCTTTCACAAACAAATATAGGCGAACTAAAATTTTGGTCCTGCTATAGCTTTGTCTCATTTATACAAATAAATGTACTCAGAGTTAGACTTATTAAACCATGTGATTTTCAAAAACTTTGTTGCTATCATGGTCATAATGGTATGCTGTTGCAGCAGCAAATCTGGAACCCAACAGGATCAGATCAGAGAGATGACAAAAATGGGCAACATAATGACGAGGCAAATGACAGTGAGGAGGAGCAAACAATTGGTTTTGCTGTAAAAAATGCAGTTCTTTTCCCTCCAGAAGTGGAAAAAGGTAGATGGCCTGAAGACTACTCTCTTTCTGATCATGCAAGACTCACTGTAGTGTTCTCACCTATTAGAATGCTATGCCACCCTCCAAAATGATGTCCAGACAATAAATACATGGGAGCACTCTAGCTTAGAATTTAGTATTAAAGCTTCATTACTTAAATAACACAAAGGAATGAGTGGAATGATGGAACTGGCAAGGGGACAAAATGGCAATTACTGAGCCATCATTGAGCAGAAATGATTTCATAGAACAATACAAGAAAAGTAAAAGGGCAATGTGAAGTTCTACCACTTAACGTCTCATACACACCATACACTAATGATGACATTTGAAGTAGCAAGAGCCATCTTATAACTCAATTGGTTTCCCCATTTACCTTAACTGATTGAAAGACAAGATTCAATCCAGGTAGAAAGAAGAATCTCACTAATCTGTTTAAGTTGTTACATACGGGGTCTTAAGCATTAGCCTTTTTTTTTTTCGAAAGTTGGTGAGGTGCAACATGAAGAGCTTCTTGAGATAGAGAGGAGTTCTGAAAAAAATCCATATTGTCACAGATTTCTCTATGTAACAAATTAAAATTGTGCATACCATAGACATGTAACCAAAATCAATTACATGCACATTCCAAGCAAAAAAGCAAAAGATTAAATAAATAAATGCTTTGCGGTGTACAAGAACCACTAAATTAAGCTGATTGCATTTATGTTTAAATTTCTCATTATTTCCCTTATTACTTGAGAATTGAAATGTTGTGTTAGCTATACCTTCCACCAACAGTTTATCGTGTTTATGGTTCCTTGTCAGCTTCAAGTTACAATTGCATCTTCTAGTCATGTAGTGCATGGGTTTCACCATCATATGGAAAGTTATTGTATGCAACTTTTTTGTGTTTTTTTATGATTTGACATGAAAATATTAGGATATGCATTTAAAATGAAAGTTCAAAGTTGAAACACACTCCGATTTTTATTTTTTTAATAAAACACTGCTAATTATCAACCATTATAATTTGCACTGTTTGTTAATACATAAAGAAAATGGCGACACCTTTATTTATTTTCTAACTGGAACTGCCCGATGTATACCCAAAGTAATGAGCAAAATCTCAGACTTGTATCAAGACATGCGCTATATAGTTTTTATGTAAAAATGTTCGTTATATAAATATAACCAACATGTTTTCAGTAGTTCAATCTTCGAAATTGTGACACTGAATGACTTTTTTTCTTAAAGTTTTATACTTTACAGACTTGGAAAGAAAATTTGATACAAATTTAAAATTTCATATGGCATTTTAGGACCCATCAGAAGAAAGTTAGACAATTTGTAATAGTTGTCCTATTGGAGATACTTGTAACAAGTTATACCTAATAAATTCCTGCAACTAAACCCTTTGTTAATAGTAAGTAAAATGTTGGTTAAATCAGTTTCATATTTGGTTATTTAATGAGAAATGGAGTGAAATGCGAGTTCCTAGCAAGTGGGTATTCTGCACCGATTACATGGAATAAAAGAATATGTGTACTCGTGCATGACCATGAACAATGAACTTGGCCAATGCCATTTCTCATTCTTCCATCCCAGTGTGACAGATGGACAAATGGACTACATACTATGCAGATAATTCACTCATTTGAGGTTCTATGGCATCATTACATGCCAAATACAAGGAAATGGTCTTCATCCTTTTCATAATTTTTTTCAAAGTGTAAACATGTACAAACTACGAAGCGAAATAAGGAGGAGGAAAAAACTTAAAACAATTTAATACTAGACTCGATATCATATCACATAAAGATACAGAAAAATTCATACACAACACACTTTAAATTACCTCATATGTACTTGCATAATAATTTACCTTTCCATTAGTTCCGCATTGTAACTTTCAGCATAATGATCATCCTACAGAATACCAAAATTCTCCCAGATAAATTAGTTATTCGAGTAACTTAATCATTCTAGTCATGATCTTCATCACTGTCTTCATAGTCAAAATCTGATTCATCATCACTCCTTGGTTGCGTCAGTGAATTCATGTCAAATGATGATTCCATTTCCATCTCTTCCATGTCAATAGTGTCATAGTCCATTCGTTGCTCAAATTTCTCATTAGAACAATTAAGCATCCATGACAAAGAACACTTCAACCCTTTCTTGACAACCATCATATGCCTAGGCTTTATAGTTGACTCCAAACCATAAGTGAAGAATGCAGGGAAAGTAACCAGGTCTTCCAAAGGCCTTTCCATCTCCATGTGGAAGTAATCAAAGCTAAGTTTCATAATATCAATGTTTAAAGCAAGTAATTGAGGGCATCCAACAACCATCTTCCTCATTTGTGGCAATGAAAACCCACAATCCTTAAGAAAATCAACATGCTTCAGCATAGGTCCCCTGCTGAGGCTAACTACCTGTGGCATCTTCTCAACAACTCGGGCAAAGTCCTCTGGATCCAAATCAAGTACCGAATTGAGTAAACTTCTTTGATTGACAAGCTTTGAATTTAAGTCAGTTCCAATGATGTCAGGATATTGAGCAATTATAGACGGAAGTGATGTTCTCCTAACATTAAACTCATCAAGGGATTTGACATTTGGCTTCACCTTCTCACCCAGCCCAAACCCAAGAATATAAGGTCGTTGCTCTATCAATCTAGCAATGGCTAACCTTGGAATCCCCAAACTTTCCAGATATTCCACAAAAGGCTTGATGATTCTACCTACTCGCATCCCCAAAATCTCTGGATATCTAGTTAATACACCTCCAATTTCTCTTCTTCCTACACCAATTCCAATCAAATAAGCAACTGATGTGCTCATGGTTCCCTCAAGTTTGAAGCCAAGCAATTCAGGGTACCTCTCAAGAACACGAGGAATATCCTCAGGCTTGATATCCATCCCCTTAAGATAATTGACCACCGGCATAAGATCAACAACCACACTAGCATGGAGAACTTGTGGGTATCTCTGCAAGAACCACGTAATTGAGGTTTTCCTCACTCCCAATTTACCAAGGTAGTCAAGCACAGGAATCATGTTCTTCTTGACACTGCAGCCAAGAACAAGTGGGTAGTTGTTGATGTCTTCAATTGTAAGCCCCAAACTATGAAGAAAATCTATTCGCTCCCTCATAACATCAACAGTCACAGGAAGTTCAAGACCATCAAGCTCGTCAGGAACAATGCCAATTTCCCTCAAGAACTCATAAACCTTTTCCCTTATTGCAGCCTTCTCTTTCCTCATTTCTGATAAACTAGGACGGCTGTATATCGATGAGGACCCTCCCCGCCTACTATTCATTCGACCGGAGTCCGTTTTGGACGCCGGCGAATCCACCGAACCAGAAGTAAATGTCCTATCAGCAACAGAATACTGAAGTTTCGTAATCAACCCCATCCGCCTAATGCAATCACGAGGTAACCGAAGAGCTAGGGTAGCACTCAGCTTACAATGACCAAATGTTAGAATAGGCATTTCCGATTGGCCAATCAAAAAACTGGGTTTCGTTATGCTACCAGAAAAGCTTATTACTTTCATGTTTTCAAGGTCCAATCACTACCATTGAATAGAATCTGCAGAAAAGAAGACGGTATCACTCACTTGGTTGAGCAATAGTTGAACATAATCGAAACTAGCAGAAAATTACAAACTTTAACAAATGAGAAAAGCAAATACCAAAACAGAAAGAGCCCCAGAAGTTCAATGCATAGGACAAAACCTTTGAAGCCGTTAAAAAGATTGTGGGGGCATGAACACCCAAAAAAGAAATGGAGAAACATTCATTAACTTTTGCATGTTTAATAAGGGAAATCGTAAAAAATAATATTGTGAGGGAGAAGGTGGAAAAGATTGAGTTATAGAGATGGACTTACAGTGATTGGAGAGTGACGAGGCTGTGGAGAAGTTTCACTTCGAACTGAGCGAGCAAGAGAGGATAACAAAAATTGCAGCGGGTTTCATTTTTAGGACCTATGCGGCTGTTCTTGTTTCTTTTGTAAAATATATCATTTTTTGTTCGTTATTTTTTATTAAATTTCAGAACTATTTTTTAATTCATTTTTAAATAAAATCGTCCTCTTGAATTATAAATTTAAAATAAAAATAATTTTATTTTTACAAACCTAAATAAAAACATAAATCTACGTATTTGAATTCCAAACGATTATTCAATTATTAACAGCTCTTGTAAATAATTTAGTTTAATTATTTGATTTTTAAAAAATCTAAATAAAAGTTATTAATTTCTAATTTTCTTATACTTATCTAATTAGTACGCTAATAATAAAAATACATGTATAGTTATTCATAGTTTTTTTATTATTAAAAGTAATCATTTTGTATCTATTACAAATTTTTCCTGCAAATATCATTAAACATGGATTCTTTTTGTAATTATTCCTAATAATTTCATCAGCATAAAGAGGAGCCTTAAATAACTAGTTTTTCAAGTGGTTGAAAGATATAGCTATTGGAAAAACGTTGAAATTTTTTTATTGAAACTATCGATCAAAAAATTGGGTTGGTATTAGTGCAAATATATATAATGAGGGATTGGATTGAATATTTAAATATTTGTATACTAATCTTATGCAAACAAAAGAATACACAAATTTATTAGTTTGTTCCTATCACTAAAACTGTGTTCAGTTTGAGCATTTAAATACTATTTATTCTAATTTTTCAAATAATATCTTAATACATTTTTCTAAGTAATTTCTTTAGATTTTATCACACTTCCAACAAAATTAAAAGAAAAAAAAACTATCTTTTAAACATACCAATATGAAAATATGGCTAAAGTAATTTGAAAACATCAACTTAATAAATTCAAATATTTTTTTTAAATACATTTATCTAATTACCTCTACATAAACTTGTAAGGTCAATGAAACATATATTATTAAACACTTATTAAAAATATTAATGGGATTAAATTTCATAAAACGAATCAATAATTCAAACCAAATCAAGCAAGACAATTGCCTTCTTAATCCAAATCAAAGTAAAATGTTATTTTCAACTTACTATTTAATTAGTGAAAAATTTGAATTTTATTAATCATTCACATTATACTCTTATCCACTATTAAAAAGTGAAAATTTTATTATTTATCCTATTTTTATTTTTATAATTTTATTATTTATCCTATTTTTTATTTTTATAATTTAATAATAAATTGTTATGTTAAATTATTATTATTATCATATAATTATTTAATATGTCTCACTTAAATTTCTTTAGATGTTATGAAGAAATTTTTGAGATTATCTCCCAAATTTCTACGTTTATCTAATGTTTGGTATTTATTCTTTTATTTGGCGTAGAATGTGCATGTTGGTTAAAAAGAAAAACAAAACAAAAAGATTCTAAAAAAAATCTTATAAATTTTTATATATTTGTTGCTCAAAAATTTTTCTTTTCATAAATACTTTAACCTTAATATCTCGTTATATTTATTATTAGTATTGTTGGGTCTAAAATAATGTTTATGCAATTAAACTCAAACCTATCTACCACGAGAAAGTATCTTTTTTGCTTCTCATACACATCATACAAGGTAACTACGATTTCTCTCTCTTGCATAGAGCTACACACCAGCTACTTCTTTTTTCAGGTTTTCTCCCTTCTAGTTAATCTTCTTTTTCTATGTAGGACAACTCTTGCTTCTAAAGGATAACGCACACACATTTACAAGACACGAGGAAATGAAGAAAATATGCAAAAAGAAGAATGATCATTGAGAGAAAATAAGTATTTTTCCTTTATTAACTTGTAGTTCTTTACAATAAAAAAATGATTGTATTTATAGGAGTTGATTCTGTTCCTAACAAAATAACAAAATCCTAAACTAATTTTAGATTAAACGGTTAACACCCCCCCGTTAATCCAAAAGTCCTAAGCTAGTCATCCCGATTTGTCTTCTGAGCTTGTCGAACCGAGCTTGTTTTAATGGCTTGGTGAAGATATCTACTATTTAATCTTTAGTACAACAATGAACTAATGTTAGTTTCTCCTTACATACTTCATCACAAAGAAAATAGAATTTCGTGTCAATATGCTTGTTTCTTCCATGTAGAATAGGGTTTCTTGACAAATTGATAGTTGATTTGTTGTCAATGTGTAGCTGAACTAGTTTCTGGTACACATGTTTTAATTCTTTCAGTAGTACCTATAACCATAGATTCTGACAAGCTACCTCAGATGCAACTATGTATTCTGCATCACACGAAGAGAGAGCTACACCCTTTTATTCTACATCACATAGGTACCTAAATAGATACCTGTAAGTGCTCTTCTCTCCACATCAATCTAAATCAGAATAAGCTTCCAACACTACTTCATTCTATTCACCTGCCTTAGGAAAGAAAATTCCATAATCTATAGTACCCTTTAAGTACCTCAAGTGCTTTGCAGTAGTCATATGAGGGACTATAGTATCATGCATAAATTTGCTTATTAAGCCTACCCCAAAGCTTAAGTCTGGTATGCTATTGCATAAGAATCTAAGAGATCCCACAATTTGCTTAATATAGGGTTGCATCAACAACTTCTGCTCCCTTTTCTTTAGTCAATTTTAGGTCAGTCATAACATACTTCTTTTGGTGCAGAAATACTCCTTGGTGAGTATGCACAAATTCCAACCCAAGAAAGTAGTTTAGGGAGCCTAAATCTGTCATCTCAAATTCAAACTTCATCTTCTCGTTAAATTATTCTATCTCTACAACCACATTTCTTGTGATGATTAAATCATTCACATACAAACATACAATAAGTATGTTCTTATGAAGTGTAACCTTCACATAAATTCCAAATTCCACTCTGCATTTGACAAAGCCATGTCAGGTCAGTATTGTGTTTATCAATTTGTTCCAAGCGCTTGAAGCTTGCTTAAGGCCATATAAAGTCTTCCTCAACCTATACACCTTGTGTTCTTTTCCTTTCACTTCGAAACCTGGAGGCGGTAAGATATAAACTTCTTCATCTAATGAGCCATCAAGAAAGACTGATTTCACATCCATTTGACTAAGTTTCCAACCCTTTGAGCTTGCTACTACTATGACCAACCTCACAGTTTTCATCCTTGCTACAGGAACAAATACTTCTATATAGTCAATTCCATGCTGTTGCAAAAAAAATTCCTTTGCAACTAATTTAGCCTTATACTTAGCCACAAATCCACCTGGTTTCAGCTTTAGTTTAAAGACCCACTTCACATCAATAGGGTATTTATTTTGTGGTAAATCAACCAATTCCCACGTCCTATTTTTCTCAATTGTTTTCAATTTTTCTTTCATAGCATCCTTCCATTCCCTCGTTTTCAAAGTCTCTCTCCATGTGATAGGCTCTGTGTCAGCCATAAGTGCCTGATGAACCGGATCACCAGTTGATGTGATCATATCATCACCATATACTTCATGATCTACAAGTCTGGTTGAAGGAAATCTTATCCTTTGTGCTCTTCTGTTGTCTAGTACAGCAACTGGAGTTTCAACTTTGTCTTCCAAAACACATGTAACATGTAATAATGTATCTGTATCATTTTTCCAGCTCTCCAAGACGTTGCCTCATCCACAATAATATCTCTACTAATCACTGCCAGTCTTTTAACTGGGTCATACAGCTTGTAGACACATGTTGGATGGTAACCAATCAGAATAAGAGACTCACTCTTATCATCCAACTTCTTCCTCCTTTCATCTGGGATATGTCTGTGGCATATTGAACCAAACACCTTCATATGTTGCATATACGGTTTGACCCCCGACCAGGCCTCCTCTAGTGTCACTGTCTTCATTCTCTGTGTAAGGCATTTGTTAAAAATATAGGCAACAATGGTTACTTCCTCTCCCTAATAGCAATGTGGCAAATTATGTTGTGGTGTGTAAGGTGCATACATTTAGTCATGTCTAACAACATCTTATTTCTTCTCTCAGCTAGTCCATTATGTTGTGGTGTGTAGGGTGCAGTCACCTCATGTACCATTCTTTTTTCTTCACAAAACTTACTAAATTTCCTAGACTTGTATTCACCTCCTCCATTTGTTTTGAGAATTTTTAAACATTTTTCATCTTGTCTCTTCACTAATGCATAGAATTTGACAAATATAGAAAACACATCTCCTTTTTATTAGATATACCCAAATATTCCTTGAAAACTATCTAAGAAGGTGAGAAAATACATATTTCCTCCAAGTGATGGTGTGTCCAGAGGACCACACACATCTAAGTGCATAACCTCCAATACCTTCCTAGTCCACTTTGGTGTAGAGGTTTTAAAAGTCTTTTTGAGTTGTTTGTCAATTACACAACCCTCACAAATCACTGAATTTATGGTAGTCCACTCACCATCTGCCTATTGCTAAGCTGACTCAAGCACTTGAAATTCAAATGACCATATCAATAGTGTCATAACCAACCTTCTTCTTCCATATTAGTTATTGAGAGACATTGTATTTCAGTGGCATCCAAATTCACCTTGAAGGTCCTATTCTTGGATAATGGTGCCTTAATCACTAGTCTCTGTTGTGAATAAAATTTTTCAATAAACTTCTATTGCTGCATGTTCATAGTATAACCTTTCTCCAATAACTATCCCAAGCTGAACAAATTATTTTTCATGCTTAAGACATATAGAACATCATTCATGTAGGCAACCTTTCCATCCTTGCATGTAATCATCACCTTCCTAATTCCTTTTGCCATAATGGAACTATTATCAGCAAATTTAACACTATTTTTCACACATGAGTTGAGATTAATAAACCAACTTCTGTTCCCAATCATGTGATTAGAGCATCATGTGTCCAAGTACTAGGATGTATTATTCTCTTTACTGATTGTTGTTGCCATCAACAATACTTGGTCTGAATCAGACCCACCTTCTTCTTTTTGCACCAGATTAGCTTCCTCTCCATTCTGCCCATTCTTTAAGTATTATCTTGCCAACATTCATATGAATAATGCTCAAATTTGTTACAGTTGTAGCACTATATTTTTCTTTTATTATAGGGTTTTTTGTCACCTCTTCCTCTGTATTGACTTCGTCCTCTTCTTTCATTCTCACTATTTGGGACACTGATTCACCATTTCTACCTCTATTTCTATTCTCAAATCTTCCTCCTCTACTTCTTCCTCTGCCTCTTCCTCTCCAGCCGCTATGACCTCTTCCATTCTGACCAACTTTGGCTTTTAAGGCCTGATTTACCATCTTTTCACAATTATTTCTTTCATTCACTCTATGTTCTTTTGCTTCAAAAGAGTTTTGTAAATCTTCTACTGTCATAACATCAAGATCCTTTAATTAATCTATGACAAACCACAATATAATCGAATGTTGGAGTTAAATTTCTTAAAACTTTCTCCGCAATCTTGCAATCTTCTATGATTTTATCATACATTCTCATGGTATTGATAAATACTTGTAACCTGCCAAAATATTCAATCATTGTCTCTTGTTCCGTCATGGAAAGGAGTTCATATTGCCTCCTTAAAGACTACAGGTTTACTTTCTTGATTTTTCCATAATTTTCATACCTATTTTGCAAAATATCCCAAACCTCCTTTACTGTGGTAGCATTTGAAATTTTCTGATAAATATTGGTAGCAACACATTGATGTAACAATACCCAAGCCTTGCAATCCAACTTCTTCATCTCTTTAAATATTTTTTTGGATTCGTCATCAACCTTCTTGGATGGTGTTTTGAAACCCACCTTCACGATTTCATCACTTTCTTGAAAACTAAAAATTGCTTCCATCTTTACGCATCAATCATCGTAACATTTCCGGTCAAACACTGGTAAGCTTCCCGGTATCAGATTTCCACTAGCCATGAGTACACACGCAACAAGAATTCCAAGATTCCTTCTTGAACCTTACTCTAGATACCTCTTTGTTGGGAATAGTGCTTATGCACACTTAAGCCCAAACACACCTACCACGAGAAAATATCTTCTCTGCTTCTTGTATAAACCACACAAGGCAACTACTCTCTCTCTTGCACAGAGTTATGCACTAGCTACTTATGTTCTCACGTCTTCTCCCTTCTAAACAATCTTCTTCTTTCTATGTAGGACAACTCCTAGATGACGTACACACACTCATAGGACACGACGAAAGGGAAAAAATATGTAGAGAGAAAAATCATAACTGAGAGAAAATAAGTATTTTTTTTCTTTATTAACGTATAGTTCTTTACAGTAAAAAAATGATTGTATTTATAGGAGCTGATTCTATTCCTAACAAAATCCTAAACTAATTTTGGATTAAACGATCAACAAGTAGTAGATTAAAATTTCACTTATTTAATCATTATTCCATCACAATAATTAACTCTCTAGTCACGATCTAACTAGATCAATCATGTGATAATTTACTCATTTAACACTACACATATAATGTCTTGTAAAAAAAAAATTACATTCATAATTATGAATATGATAAATTGTTTTCCTTACCAACTATATTAACTTTGTTGTAAAAATATGTTCCTTGCACTAATGTTCTAATCAAATGCATTTTAATATTTAAAAAAATAAGAAACATTAGTTTATCTTTCTTCTTCTACTCATGTTTAACATGGTTGAATTTCTAAAACACATGATTAAAAAGCTAGACTATATACAATACTATATCCCATACACAACATTGATGAAACTCTAACATGAGTGATAACATATTCTATATATAGACTATAAACATTGCAGTTCACAATTCAAAATTTGTCAACTTTTTAATTATACTACCAAATTACGTTTTTTATACTAGTTAGTTGTCAAGAATTCAAAATTTAATTTTCAGTGTGTTATAATATTAATATTTCATGTATCAATATGGTTTTATTATTTTATTTCATTTTAAATTACATTTCTTTTTATTGTTTTTTGAGAAGGAATTTAACATTTTATTAAAGTCATCATCCAACTTTTCTTAATAAATACTAAAATATTATCATGCTTTTCCCGTGTATATATCACATGTGCAATAATGTTTCATAGTATATACACTCATGTTAATTTCTTTTAAAATAAAGCGGAAATTAATTTTATTTTTAAAAGCCTTTTGTTTATATTATGCCTATTATAGTGTGGTTTTGATGAATTAGTTTAGAGTTCTATTGATGTATATTTATATATAACTTAATATTTAAATTAAATTATGGTAAAACATAATTTATTTAAACCACAGTCTAAGTTTAATTGAATTATATTAGATTTAGTAAGGTAAGATCAAGCAGATCGTATATTATGAAATAAAAGATATTACGTTTAAAAAGTTGACTTCTTTTTTTTACAATGATGATAATAAAATTTATATATAAATTTTATCCAAAGTATTTTGAAATTGATGGTTGACTTTTTATTTGAATAACATAAATATAATTATAAACTACAAAAATCCTAGATTGCAACGGAGGCACGTGTTATACATATTTACACAGTTTAATATTCCAATTAAATGATGCATATTTTTCTAATTGTAATCACTTTTATCCGTTTAACTATAATTTAAAATTTCACCTAAGCTAGATAATTGTCAGTCATATTCTTTATAATTTAAAAATTTTCATCAAATATTTTTTTCTTATATACAACAATATGTTTAAATCTCACTATAAATTAAAAATATTCATAATTTTATGTAATATATTTCCTTCACCTGACTAAAAAGAGTAGGATTTTACTTAATACAAGATTTTTAACAAAGCTTTTTAAAGGTGTTTATCAGTAAACTTGTTAAGTATAAAAAAAATGGTCATTAATGAAAATTTTATTTGGTTTGAAATTTACTCTAATGTTCAACGAAATAATTAATGTTAAAAGAAAAAACTTTTATGGTTTGAATTTTAATATTTCTGTCTGAAGAGAATCCAATCTGAACATGTTCAGAAAATGAAAAATAAAGAAAAGAAATGGAAAGCATCAATCACTTTACTCTTTATTGAGCCATCCACCACACACCATTAGTGAACTCTATAAAGGTTAAATTATAAAAAAGAAGAAGATGTCCAAAATAAAACGCCAAATGTTGAATATAATATACTGGAATTAAATAAGCAGAAAGTAAGAAGAAGATAGTTTGAAGATAATCTCTACCCTAAAAGGAACTGAGGTTCTAAAAGAAGAAAAAAAGCAACAATGAGATAAAAATAAAATCAAATCGAGATAACATAAATAATTGTATAAATCTTTTTTATACTATTAAATTACAATATGTTCAAAACAATAATTTTTTCTTCAATTAAAATAATTTATTTAATATATACATCAGAGATTCAATTAATACAATAATAGCATAAAAAAAATAAAATTATACTTTTATGAAAATACCAAATAGCAATTAAAAATTAAAACTATTAAAACTATTAAAAATGAAAAAGCAACAGGAAGACAATATTTATTGCAAAGAGAGAGAAACGATGAAGGGAGGTGAAAAAGTAACAAAAAGAAAGACAATGGTGAAGGAGAGAGAGAGAGAGAAACGATGACGTGGACATTGGTGGACGCTGTCGTTTTGTGAATCCTACAAAACTTTCAATCCTGAAATTTCAAAGCCTCTTCCACTTGTTCACACTTCTGCTAGTAAGTAGCTCGTTTCCTTACTCACCAAGACAACTACCACATCCGATGAACGGCACGTGTCGAAATCTCTTTCGATAATTGTTTTCCACCAACACCCATTTCCCATTTTACCCTCCTCTATCACCCTCACGCCTTTGACACGTCAGCTTCGCCGTGTGGTTTTCCCCAAAACCGAGGCTAAGACCGCACGACGTTGTATTCAGCGCATATACGAGGAATTTATATTCACAATAATCTGTAACAAAAATAACTCACCCACCCAACTTCACTTTCCGAGCAACTTCCTTTACCCGTGACGACGGAAAACTCGAAAAGCACCCCAATTCCCCAGAATCCCTACGATTCCCACTTCATTTTTCACCTTATTTATCTCCAAGCCTTCTCCTTTCTTCCCTTTTTCTCTCTCTCTTTGGCCTCTTTGGCGTCAAACTTGCTTCCCAGTCATGGGTGCCGTCGTCGAGTGTTACCCGCCGCCGCGGACGGCGGTTCTATCCCTCAACACGCTGCCGCTTGGGTTCCGTTTCCGTCCCACCGATGAAGAGCTTATTGATTACTACCTGCGCTCGAAGATCAATGGAAATGGGGACGATGTTTGGGTTATCCGTGAAATTGATGTCTGCAAATGGGAGCCTTGGGATTTACCTGGTATTTTCTTATTCATGTTTGATTTGGGGTTTTTGTGTAATTGGGAAAGTTTTAGTTTTGCTTTACTAATCTTTCTGTACTGTTGATGAATTAGTTCTTCTTTCTTTTTATCATGTTTCCTTTGAACTAAACTTAAGTACCGCTACTGTTGTTCTATAATCATAATCTGCATTTTTATCTTGTTGATTATAAGGGTTATAAAGATGAAGTGTTGATTTTAATCGGAGATCAAATTTCCATGGTAGTGTATTTAAGTTTTGTACTTATTTTGGGGGAAATGGTGGCTTTGAATTGTTAGATATGAAATTAGTAGTAAACGTTGATGTGGAAAGTGGCTATGTGTTTGATTTGCTTATATTGTTCGTGCTTCTTGTGTTTTGTGGGGGTGGGGTTTGTTTGTTGTAGATTTGTCAGTGGTACGGAACAAGGATCCAGAGTGGTTCTTCTTCTGTCCGCAGGACCGGAAGTATCCCAACGGGCACAGATTGAACCGAGCTACGAACCACGGGTATTGGAAAGCAACGGGGAAGGATAGAAAGATTAAGTCTGGTTCCGCTTTGATTGGAATGAAGAAGACTCTTGTTTTCTATACTGGTCGTGCTCCGAAGGGGAAGAGGACCAATTGGGTTATGCATGAGTATAGGCCAACCCTAAAGGAGCTCGATGGTACCAATCCTGGACAGGTCTAGTCTTATCTCCCACTATTATTGTTTGGTATTGGCTTTTGATCTTTGTTATTATGTTGTTTTGACATTGAGTTGTTTGTAAGTTTTAATAGCTCTATTTTTTTTCCTCAATGAGGTGTTTAAGATGTTAAGTTGTTTTTTATCCCTTAATGTTTGATTTGATGAACGATGGTTTATTTACGTCTCTTCTTCTTCCTATTTGGTTTAGGGTTGGTTGAAAGAGTAAGCTTTACATATTTGTGATTGTGATAATTTAATAAAGCGAAGTCGATTGTTAGATTTTTGTGTATAATGTTTGTTTCTTGTATTGTTTTCCTTTATTGATTTTTCAAGTTTGAGGGTTTCTCTTTCACTACTTATTTGTTGAAACTCTCAGGTTTTTAATTCGTAAGAGGTTCTTGTTTGGTGACCAAGTCAAACCATGTTGACCATGGTATTTAATATTTCTTCGAATAGCTTCTCCGCCTAGTTATTTTGATTCTAAATGTTCTTCGTGTTCTTATGTTACATTTTTCTAGTTCAATGTACTATTACACATTTCAGTTATCTCTGGTCCAACTTTAGAAGCTAGTTCTTACAGATCAGTATTATATTATTTAACCTAAAGCTTCTGCAAATTATGTCTATGTCGGAATGTCTATGGTGATGATGATATGTTGCTGACTTTTCGATTTCGTTGATTTGACTAATCACAGAATCCATATGTCCTTTGTCGATTATTTAAGAAACATGATGAGAGTCTTGAAGGTTCAAATGGTGAAGATGTGGAGCGGACTGCTTCAACTCCTATGACTGCCAATTACTCTCCAGATGAAATACAATCTGATTCAGCTCTGGTTCCAGCATCTTCTTCACAGGTTACTGAGGATGATAGTAAGCCTCTAGCAGCTATCCCTGAGAACTCTGAGGAAGCAATATCCAACATTATAACTCCAGTTGATTGCCATAGTGATGGATGTGATGCTCCTGAAGGACAAAATCAAATTGTAGAACCAGCTGCGGAGGTTAGATTAGCTGCTTGAGTTTTATCTGATTCTTTCTTCCTTTCTCTGGATTTCATCCTTCCCCCTAATTTGATTTCAAAACATTGAATTTGTTGGTTTAGTAACTATACTTGATATTGACTACTTCAGCAGGATCAGCCATTTAACGTGGACATGTTTTATGACCCAACAAACCAGCAATTAGATGACAAATTATTCTCCCCAGTCCATGCACATTTCCCACCAGAAATTTACTATCAAGCAAACAATCAGTCAGAATTTCAGTATGGTACAAATGATAATATGTCCGACTTCTTTGACTCAGTTGTTAATTGGGATGCAATATCCTATGATACTAGTAGTCTAGATCTGAGCTCATCCTTCCTCAATGTCAAGGACAACGGATCAGGCAGTGACTCAGATGTGGAAATGGCCAATATGACGGTGAGTAATAGCTCCGATTCCTTTTACCCTTCTGGTTATTCTAGATTGCTGCAATCAAAATGACTTCTATTAGTTTTGAAATACCTAGTGGCAGTTCTAACCCTTTATTTATTCACGTTTTTATGTTAATTGATCTCTTTCTAAAATGACACATTGATTTACAATTTGGATTATATCTGTTCAGTGAGTTTATTTAGCATGATTTGCATGTTCCACTTGTATAATGTCAGCGTTATTTGCTGCTGCAGCATCTGCAGGCATTACATGGTTATCCTAAGGAGGCAGTTGAGCAGAAGAGCAGTGTACGATCATATCTGAACAGCTCCCCGATGGATTTCTCAAATGATGTCCCTATGGGCCAAGCGCCCATTACGGTCAACAATTATGAGCAAACAAGAGACTTTGATGCATTTGTTAATGGTGACACTGGAATTAGAATAAGGTCTCGTCAAGGACGAAACGAACAGCCAAACATGAATGGAGTGGTACAATCTCAAGGTATTGCACCAAGGAGAATACGATTAGGAGTTGTTAGGCGTCCGTTTACTTCCCAGGAGACGGCAAAAGATGGAAGTTGTGCTTGTGCACCGGAAGACCACAATTCAAAAACCATCATTACTAGGGTACGGAGTTTGTTTATTTAACTTGTATATCTAACTCATAGTGGTCACTGCATGTGTTGAGATTTTGTGTTCCTCTTTTGCAGGAGAGAAAAGCTCCAGAAAACCATGTTGGCAATCAGAGTTTCGCTGTTACTAGTGATGTTGATGAACCAGAGAAGGAATCTCCTGAGTCATCTGACTCAGAAAAATTTACTGAGCAACATGTTGCAACTGCAGAATCCATCTTGGGGTCGAAAGACCTCCTACAGAGCAGAAGGTTCCGCTACAGCTCAAAGGTTTCGTCTAACCGTGCCATGTGGTCTTATGTTCTTGCAGTTTCTGCGACTGCGTTGGTTTCAGTAATATTCCTTGTTAATATATGGCCATATGTGAGATCTTGAACTCCTTATAAGTAAAAATAGTTTATTCCTTTTGTGCGGAATTTGCCTCCATTGCTTTTTTGGCCTGTAAAGGAGGCACGTAGGATTGACTTCAGAGACTTGTTGATAAGAATGTAAAATATGTATGTGCATATCTATGTAATGAATGTAGTAGTCATTGCAGAGTATGGTAACGTAGCTGTCTAGTCTGATAGAAACGTGTTGCTGCAGTTAGATTCACAGTTTAACCGCTTCTACTTTTTGTTGAGGTTTAAGTTGCTTTTCCCATGTGGTTTTTTGTTGTATCTCTTTTTGCCCATGTGATCTGGGGAATCAGGATTCTATGTAAGCTTTTCATAAACCACAGACCATCTTAATCCATAATTTTTTTTAATGAAAATTAGGTATTACAGATGCACATAGATTACTCAATTCTAGCAGATAAGTTACATCTGTAATTACATTAGTTATTTTTAAACTCATGAGAATCTTGGTCTATCTATGTTATAATCTGTTACACGCGCATGTGTGTACAATTTGCAGACATTTAGTAGATGATATTTTAGTTTATCCTTCCAAAATCCAAGTCATGGTTATTCAATATCAACTAAAACTTTAGTTTACAACTATGTTATTAGAAATTCACACATTTCATTTTTTTTGCATTTTGCCATTCCATGTTGGATTGCGTGAGAAAATAGAAATACCAAACAAAGCTTTCTTTTTCACTTTCCCAGTTCCTTATGTTCTCTTGCTACGTGAGATGGTGACAGTGCCAACAAATTTTATTTCATAGCCTAAGAGAAAGTTATAGAAGGTTTGGTATTATTTATTTTCCGCAGAGATTGTGACGATGGTTCCTCAACAAATACTTCACAAATCAAATCTGAAAATCTTGATGAACAAAAAAACTTAATTGAAGGGGACAAAAGAAAAGACTAGAAGAAACAAGATAAACAATTAAGATGTACCCATCAATCAAAATCGAGTTTGGTGCTATTTTTGAATAATCATTTTGTATTACTTCTTCTGGTCATTATATTTTTAATTTTTTTAACAACCTACCTTTTAGACTATTCATTAATATATTATTAACCAAATAAGGAAAATTAATTAACCAAATTCTTAATGTTAAAGCTTCTCCATAAGATCAAATATTTTATTGTTGAACATATCGTTAGTCGTAAATAATAATAATAATAATAATAATAATAATAATAATAATAATATATTATTATTATTATTATTATTATTATTATTATTATTATTCCTTTTACGGGCGTGAAAAAAAATATGCAAAATAAATCAAGTTAGTTTACAAGTGCATTGGGTTCTTCAAATTAGCTCACTAAAGTTATGATTTATGTTATGTTTACTTATTTTTAGTTTGATTTTATATTAGATTCTCTGAAATGATGATGAAATTTTATTTAATGTGATTTTAAATAAATTGTTACATGTGTTAGTTTTATTTTGAGTGTTGGCATATTAAGTTTTACTATTATTTTGTCAATACTCATTCAAACGAACACTAATTTTATGAGGGAAGATATATGAAGCCAATTTCAGCCGTTTCTTTTTATAGTTATATTATTAAATTAATACAATAATTTATCTGAATAAAAGGATAATAATATGATGGTCGTCGAGTACTTAATAAATTAAATGTTGCATTTGACGTAAGAGGATGTAAATTGTCAATAAATAACACAAGTTACATATATCTGTCATTGAAAATGATTTTGTCTTTTCATATTCTATCATTTTAAAAAAAATCAAGAAAGGTAAAGCAAAAAATTAAATAGAATTTTTTTTCAAAAATTAAAATCAACCAAATTAAAAAAAAAAACTAATTTGACTAAAAATAGCTGTTAAATAATATAATTGATTATAAATTTCTAATAAATTTTTGGAGAACAATATTCTTACATAATCAGAATCCATTACATATAATTATATTTTACAGATTTTCTAACTAATTAGATGAGTGAATAATAAATTACATAGAATAAGAAAAATGAGCACATAAAATTATAACCTAAGATTAAAATGAATAGCAAAGATTCAATTGACTGGGTTTTATCCCTCCACCATGTTTTTTTACCTTTCATTTATTATTTTACTTCTCAAAATAAGTTTTTTCTTTACCTAATTTTATTATCTCACTTTAAAAAAAAAAAACACTTTTCGTATGTGTTCTTCCACACACACATATATATAATTTTTTTTATCAATTAAAAAGTTAGGAAGCTGAATAAATTATTGGATAAGCCGTTTTCCCACCTACCTCTAGATTCGTGCTGAAACAAGAGTGATGTACCTCAAGATGCACTCCCAACAAGACTTTGTACACAAATGTTAGATCCTTTTTGGGAAGAGAGACATTACAAAAACTGTGTTCATGAAATAAATGGGATATTATTAATTTTTAAGAATTTTAATTAACTAGTTAAAATCGATTGAGAGTGATCAATTAATAGTGTTTAATCATTGTCAGAAAATAGTTCAAATTATATATATTTTTCCTAAAACTGCGATCATGCAAAATCTAAATAATTGATTACATAAATCTTATCTTTATTTTGTCAAGCCACCTCGCCATTTCATTTGTACAGGGCCATTGAATTACAATTAAAAAAAAACGCATTTTTCTTTTGCACCTTAAAAACCTAAATTCAAGGACAAAACAAGAAAATGACTTAATGGCATAGATATATCAACAAAATATAAAATAGTTTTCGAAGGCATTCTAAAAAAAATAGATTCTACTATCGATGGTAAATATATAAAAATAAAAACAAAGATAGAGAAGGAAGCGCAAAATAAACACAGCCTAATCATAACGATGGTGTCTTTCAAGAAAAGAGTCACATACCCTCCATTTGCAAGGATTGCCCAATACACTGATATAACATAACACTAAAAAGAACAAAAAGCAAAATTTCAAACGATTATTCCTGGAGGAGTCAAACCACAATACTCATTAACAAGAAATTCGGTTGCACCCATAAATACCGATTCCTACCCGCACTAACTTTGCTCAGTACTTGTAGTTCTCAACATGGAGGCTCTCTGAGGCACCCTCACCAAGCTGTGAATTACCCTTGTAGGTTCCAAGAGTTGCCTCTGAGTTAGCCTTGGCTCTTACCAATAAGGCTTCTTGTGCCTTCTTCACATTCTCCTCTTTTCCGCCCCATGCCTTGAGGGTGCTCTGTTGAAGTGCCCTTCCAAAAGAGAAAGAGAGTGACCATGGCTTCTTCCCCTTGACCTGGTTAATGGCATTGAGGTTGACGGATGCCTCCTCCTCACTCTGTCCACCAGACAAGAAAACCACAGCAGGAACTGCAGCAGGCACGGTTCGCTGCAGGGCTCTAACAGTGTGCTCAGCAACCACCTGAGGGGAAACCTTTGCAGACTTAGATCCAGGGGTCACCATGTTTGGCTTCAATAGAGTTCCCTCAAGAAGAACATGGTGATCATTCAAAGCCTTGTAGCATGCTGCAAGGACACGCTCTGTCACAGCGGCACACTTGTGAATGTCATGAGGTCCATCAACTAGGATCTCAGGTTCAACAATGGGAACCAGCCCATTTTCCTGGCATATGACAGCATATCTGGCCAAGCCATAGGCATTCTCATGGATAGAGAGCTCAGATGGCTCGTTGGGACCAATCTTCAGCACGGCACGCCATTTGGCAAATCGTGCACCCGCTTCATAGTACTTGGCACAACGCTGACCAAGGCCATCTAGACCCTGAGTAGTTGTTTCCCCATCAGTCCCGGCAAGCTCAACGGTGCCCTTGTCAACCTTGATACCAGGAAGCACACCAGCCTCCTTCAACAACTCAACAAAGGGCTTGCCTACATAAAATCCATTTACAACAAGGTTAGTAGTGTAACACCAATGCCACTATGATTCATCTTCATTCATTTAAAGACAATTCCACCAATTAAAAAAAAACATATCACCAACCCCAAAAGAGAAAAAAAAAAAAATGATGACATAAGGGTTTTGAAATAGTACAAAAATTGATGCAATTTCTTAGGTACTTTGAGTTCTCCCACAATCAAAATTAGATTTGCACCTCAAAAATCCAGATAATAAAGATTTACATAATTACATTTACATGAATGTCAAGTCATGTAGATATAATTATTATTAGTTATATGTTTCTTTTTTTAGGAAAAAAGTAAATAGAAATATTTGATATAATCATAAGTTCAATTAAAATATTTAGACATAGAAAAAATAACATAATAATAGAAAGAGGAATTCTAATAGAAATTAAAAGTAATATAAAATATATTATTTATAAGACAATATAATTACATTTAAGCAGCATTGACAATAAAGATTTACAAAATTACGTTTACTCGGACTCAAGAAGAACATCAATAGAACCTATTTTCAATTGTATAATATCTAACTTTTTGTACTTAAAAACAAGTTTGCAACAAAAACTTGTTCAACTGTGGCTGCATCTACCTCATTCGGCCACAATTTTCTGCAACATCAAGGATTACCACAGTTGAAAACCTTGATTGACATATAAGAACAATGCATCTTGAAACCAAACAATGCTATGCTCATCAATTCACAAACTAAACCAATTAAGATCCTGAAAATTTTTTAGCGTACCTGAAGCTGTGCTCTGGTAGAGGGTTTCCTCAAAGAGGATGACTCCACTGAGGTATTGAAGAGCACCAGGAGCAGTGAAAAGCAGCTCCCTTAGAGCACGCCTGTTGGATTCAACGTTCTCTACATTGATGCTGGCCAAACGCTTACCAATTGTTCCCGTTGACTCATCAGCAGCAAGAATACCCTTTCCAGGAGTGCCAATGTAAGCAGCATTGGCAATAAGCTCATCTACAAGCAAAACCATCAATCAACAGCACCACACAAACATCAATTCCAAACTTCCGAAAATATAAACATCATAATCCAACTTATGAACAAAACTGGTAAGAAGTTGAACTTTCATCTTTTGAACAAAGATGTCGAGTTAAAAACAGTTGTTAAGACAGAGAAACGTCAACCTAATAACCACGACACAGAATTCATAAATCACAACAAAAACCCTTGAAAAAACACATGGATAAAACAATCGCAACCCAGTTTTATATTAAAATTCCCATGGAAAACCAGATCTGAATCTCTCAGATCTAAATCCACACAAACAAGTCCAAATTGATTCAAACAAACATAAAATAAACGGATCAGAACATAAACATATAAACCAGTGAGATCTATAAGCAAACAATCTGTATGAGAATAAATCGAAGTAAAAGAGAGTAAGAGAAAGAGAAGTACCATGGTACTTGCCCTTGAAGTGAGACATGGTCGAGGAGGAAGAAGAGGATGAGTTAGTTGAACGGAAAAAAAGAGGTAGGTATGAGGTTGAAAAAAAGTGATCACTAGGAAGGGTTAAGAGGGGTTTATATAGTGATGGTGATAATGATGTTGCGTTGAGAACACGACAACAGAAAAAAGACTAGGGTCCTCGGATGCGCACCCGCAAAGTTTCAACCTCGGTTTGTTAGGTTGTGTCTCTGTGGACTGCCGTTGGAATCAAGGTCCCCAAAATTGGATGGCGGTTTCGGTTTTCTGTGGACTGAACGGCCCGCCTTTATTGGGCCAACGCCGTGTGCAGCTAATCAATGCAAGCCCACCTCCCTCCAATTGTAGTTCGCCAACAATGTGAAAACCTGCAGAGTCATGCTATGTCTGCCTCATTTCAGTAAAGTTTTTTTCCTTTCTCTTTTAAAGAAAAAAAATTCAAATAGAAATAAATTTTATTTTTTTTACTTTAACTATAACATTTTTTCCTAAAATACTTTAATTTTAAGTTTTGTCTCATACTTTTTTTAAATAGATATTTTAGAAATAATATTAAAATATTCATATATTTTAATATTTATTTTTATTAAAAGATTAAAATATTTAAAAATATTAATTTAATTTAATAAAAAGAGTAAATTAAATTGAGATAAAAAATAAATAAGTTACGTTTATAATGATTTCTATATGCAAGTCTATGTATCCGTTAAAAGACTTAATTTGCATATAGATATTAATTTTATGTTTCTTTGCATGATGCATAGAAATATATTTTAAAAAAATATGACAAATACTTGATAACAACACGTTATTTATACAATGTTCAAAATTAATTTTTAAATTATAAAATTTTATGAGTCTCATTTTTTATTGAGTCATGAGTCAAATCCGTGATTTTGTAAATTTTAATTGATAATATGGAACTCTGTGTGACGTTAAATTTGATGGTCTCAAGTTTTAAAATTAGGTTTTATGTATTTTGAAAGATGGAACTGAACTGAACTGTATCTCAAGTCAACACAAATTCAGTATCCTATATATTTTTTAAAAGTATAAGCTTTTAAAACAATTGTATATTAATAAAACCAATTCCTTCATTTCTAAAAACAATGTTTAATCTTTTAAATTGAATTTGTTAGAAGAGACTTTGCTTAATATAGAATTGCTATGATATTTTCATTCAGTTGATTTGGGAAAGCATTTCCTTAGTTCATATGAAAGTTTGATGGGTATATAAATCTTCCATAACCTATGATCATTTGATGATTTTGTGATTCCAAACGGATGGAATCATGGCCTAGTTTTCTCTTGTTACGAGAGAAAACTCTTCGGAAACAACATGAAGTATATCTGCACTCATTTTCAGCTCTCAAAACTATTTGGAAAAACTTGGAAGCTTTGAAAAAACTATCACTTCTAAAGATAAGTGTTCTGAAACGAGATTTTTCATCTTCTTCAAGACCTTTTTGATCCAATTCAATGTCACCAGTTCTCTGTTAATGCAAAAGGCATGAATCAGCAAGAAGATAAATATATGCAAGACTTCAATACACATATTTTGAGAAATTTACATAACATTAATAGAGAAAAAAAAAAAAAACTATGAGAAACACAAACAAATCAGATTCTCACAGTTTTGTCTTCCAAAACATGAACTATATCTTTGAGTAACCATAATCTATAGCGCTTCCCTGATTCTTTTCGTGATTCTTGCGGGACAATTTCTTCGTTTTTGTCCTCAATCAAATTATGCAATGTAACTATACCATTGCAATTATGGTTTATGAGTGTTTTTTCCACCAATATGCCAATGTGATATTGCATGCAGTCATCATAATGAGCACAAAGTATATCTTCAACCTATATCAAATTTTCTCCCTTGAAGCAACAAGCAATATCAAGAAAAACATTCTTTTCTTCTTACTCCAAAGCATCAAAGCTTACTTAAGTATCTTTAGGATATGATTATTAGGAATTCTTTTATATTGTTAGCTAGCAGATTTCCATTCCTTTATGGTTTTTCCAAACAAGTTGGAACCTATAGCACTTGTTTGTCCTGAGTTGTGATGATGATGATGTGATGACTCTCTCTTGTCGGTACTAAATATTAAGAAAAATCCACATAACTTTTTCATGTAATCAGATCTGTGAAAGTGAAATAAAACGAAATAAAGACAGAATAATTAGACACACCAATTGATAACGGAGTTCGGCCAAAATTGCCTATGTCTCCGGATTACTGCAGATATTTTACTGGGAGAAAAGAAAATACACAGGTGTTTACAAAACACTCTCAAAACACTCACAACCCTCAACCCAATTACACCCAAAAGCTAGATTATTTTCTTTCTACTTCTTGCTGACTAACTCTTGTAATGGTTACTTTGGAATTGGATGATGGAAATGAGTGAAGTGAAAGAACATTTTATAGCAAAAGGAATGGTTCTTGTGCATTTAAGACTTTCCAATTTTTCTTGTCTCCAACCACTTGTCATCCAACCACTTGCCAACCAGTCACTTGCCAACCAACTACTTGCCACCTTTTTTGACTTTTCAAACACCAACAATCTCCCACTTGAGGACTAATTTCAATCTGTCCTCACACCTTGATTAATGCAGTAGTCTTCTCTGGTCTGCTACTCTTGCAAGCCAACTGAAGTTGAGCACAATTTCAATTTGTCAATGGTCACCACCTTCGTTAGCATATCTGCTGGGTTCTTGCTTCCTACAATCTTCTTCAATGTTAACACCTCATCCTCAAGTAGAGATCTGATGAAATGATAACGAATATCAATGTGCTTGGTTCTGGAGTGAAATGCTAAATTCTTTGCCAGATGTATTGCACTCTGACTATCACTATGCAAAACACTCCCTTCTTGAGTGAATCCCAGCTCTGCTAACAGTCCTTGAAGCCATATCAAATCTTTACTGGCTTCTGTCACTGCTACATACTCAGCTTCTGTAGTGGATAAAGCAACAATTTTTTGTATCCGCGACATCCAACTAACAGCTGTAGTACCAACCGTGAAAACATAACTGGTGGTGCTTCTTCGGTGATCAACTTCACCTCCAAAGTTTGCATCTACGTAGCCCTGTAATCTTAGATTTCCTTTTCCAAAACACAGACATTTTGTTGTTGTTCCTTGTAGATATCTTAGAATCCACTTGACGGCTTCCCAGTGAGCCTTTCCTGGATTTGCCATAAACCTGCTCACAACTCCCACTGCATGGCCAATGTCTGGCCTTGTACAGATCATTGCGTACATCAAACTTCCAATGGCTGAAGCATACGAAACCTTAGCCATAATTTCTTCTTCTTCCTTTGTTTGAGGAGACTAATCATTGGATAGACGAAAATGACTGGCCAAAGGTGTATTGACTGGTTTGACCTTGTCCATGTTAAATCTTTGCAAAACACGGTTGATGTACTCCTTTTGAGATAACTGCAAAACTCCTTTTTGCTTATCTCTCGTGATTTGCATTCCAAGAATCTTCTTTGCTGGTCCTAAGTCCTTCATGTCAAATTCCTTTGACAACTGCATCTTTAAATTTCTGATATCCCTCATATTTGAACCTGCTACTAACATGTCATCAACATAAAATAGCAATATGATATAACTGGACTTATACCTCTTGAAGAAACAACAATGATCGGCATTGCACTTTTGGAACATTCCTTGTGCATGAAGCTTTCAAACTTCCTGTACCACTGTCTTGGAGCTTGTTTCAAACCGTACAAGCTCTTCTTCAATTTGCACACCATATCCTTCTTTCCTTCTAAAAATCCTTCAGGTTGGTGCATGTAGATCTCCTCATCTAAGTCTCCGTCGAGAAATGTAATCTTCACATCTAGGACCTTCTTCAATATAGGAGTTGGAGTAAGAGGTTCTGGTTGCACATCACCTTCTTCAGTTGATTCCTTTGACTGATAACTCCTCACTATAGGATTTTCTAGGACATCTTCCACTTCTGCAAAAACTGGCCCACTCGATTCTAAATTGCTAATACCTGTTTTATGCATGTCCTTGTACAATACTCTTTCATTGAAGATTACATCTCTGCTGCGGATCATCTTTTTGTTTTCATCATCCCATATGCGGTAGCCATACTCATCTTCACCATAACCAATGAAAGTGCACTTCTTTGATTTTAGGTCAAGTTTGTTTCTACCTTGATCACTGATATGGACATATGCTACACAGCCGAAAACTCTAAGATGTGATAGTTTTACCTCTTTTCCGCTCCATACCTCTTCTGGTATTCTGTGCTCCAATGGTACCGATGGACTTCGGTTGATCAAGTAAGATGTTGTGTTGACTGCTTCTGCCCAGAACTGCTTTGGTAAGTCTGACTGTACACGCAAGCTTCTGGCTCTTTCAGTCAACGTTCGGTTCATACGCTCAGCTACACCATTGTGTTGAGGCGTACCAGGCACGGTCCTCTCCATTCTGATTTCGTGCTCATAGCAAAACTTCTTGAATCTGGTGTCTACATATTCACCACCATTGTCAGATCTGAGCTTCTTAATCTTCAATCTTGTTTCATTTTCTACCATAGCTTTCCAAATCTTGAAAGCTTCAAATACTTCTGACTTGTGTTTCAGAAAGTAAACTCATACCTTTCTGGAGTGATCATCGATAAACGTCACGAAGTATTGCTTCCCACCAACGGATGGGACAATCGTTGGACCCCAAACATCAGAGTGGACAAGCTCAAGTCTCTCTTTCTTTGGAATTCTTCTATTTGTCTGAAAGCTAACTCTCTTCTGCTTTCTAAGTATACAGTCTTCATACATGTTAATTTCTACTGACTGAAGACCTGGTAGTTTTCTTTTTGAGTGCATGATCTTCATCCCTTTCTCACTCATATGCCCAAGTCTTTGGTGCCATAGATTGGGATTTTCATTTGTTGCAACTGCAATCAAATGGCATGCTCCTGCAGTCTTGTAAAGAGTACCACTCTTTTTTCCTCGAACAATTATCATCGCACCCTTTGAGATCT